ATCTTTCATATATCTTTAGTTTTGCTTAGAAGATTAGACTCCATGATTGGCAGTAAAATAAGAAAAGAAAGGACAAATAGGAGAGAGAGTGCAAAAGTAGAATCAGCAAGACTTGACTATTTGGATATTGGGAGCAAGTAAGAAGAAGGAATTAAAGAAGACTATGGTTTCCAGGCTTGGAAGAGAAATCAGAAATCAGAAATCAAAGCAAATAAGTGTTGGGGGAGAAGAGGAGGGATGGAAGAGCTTTTCTCCTCTGTGTGTGTGTGTGTATGAATGTAGAAGTCTGTCCAAATATCCACATTTACTGTTCTCTCAAAGCAATCCATAATTCCTTTTTCTTTTCCCAGTTAAGCTTCATTAATCATATTTTTATATTAACTTTCACTCAACTATCCTTACATAGTTCCTTTTCCTAAAAGGAATTTTTTCTTAACATTTTTCTATACACTAAGAGGCTACTCTTAGTACTTTCAAATAGGAAATGTGGGAGAGTAGAAATAATTCATGTTTCTATAGTGCTGTAAGTTTTACAGAGCACTTCTTCATAATAACGCCATGAGGTAAGATGTATAAGTATTGTTATTAAATTATCACCCTTTAAAATTGAAGAAAACAAAAGTAAGGAAAACTAAGTGAGTGGACAGGATGGTAGAGAAAAGCCAGAAAGTTGCCTGAGTTCTTCCCAGCTTCCCTTGGAAACAATGTTAAATCAGCCTCTAAAAGAATTTTGGAGGAACAGAACCCACAAAAAGATGGAGTGAAACAATTTTCCAGCTTAAGATAACTTAGAAGGTCTGTTTCTTGGATAAAGGGAAGCACAGCCCAATACAGGTGGTATCCAGGCAAGCCAGCAGGAGGCTCTTAGCCACAGCACAGATCAGCATCCAAGGCTCCATGGTCCTGGTTCAGCAGGCCAGCTGTGAGGCCTCCAGCCCCAGTGCAGAAGGCAAACTGCTAGCCCTGGAACCCAGAGCAAACAGGCATGACTATGACAATGAAGAGGAAATTAAAGTAATAATTAGGAGCTATTTTGCCCAACCATATGCCAGTAAATCTAACAATCTAAGTGAGATGGGTGAGTTTTTACAAAAATACAAATTACCCAGATTAACCGAAGAGGAAATAAAATGCTTAATACCATTTTAGAAAAAGAAATTGAATAAGCCATCAATGAACTCCCTAAGAAAAGAATCTTCAGGTCCAGATGGATTTAGAAGTGAATTCTACCAAATATTTAAAGAACATTTAATTCCAATACTACATAAACTATTTGGAAAAATAGGTGAAGAAGAAGTCCTACCAAATTCCTTTTATGACACAAATATGCTGCTGATACCTAAACCATAAAGAGCCAAAACAGAGAAAGAAAATTATAGACCAATTTCCCTAATGAATATTGATGCAAAAATTTTAAATAAAATATTAGCAAAGAGATTACGACCATATATCCCAAGGATCATATACTATAACCAGGTGGAATTTATACCAAAAATGCAGGGCTGGTTCAATATTAGGAAAACTATCAGCATAATTTACCATATCAATAACAAAACCAAAAAATCATATAATTATCTCAATAGATGGAGAAAAAGCTTTTGACAGAATACAGCATCCATTCCTATTAAAAACACTAGAGAACATAGAAATACATGGCCAGCTTTAGAGAACATAGAAATGCATGGGGTTTTCCTTAAAATGATAAGTAGTATCTATCTAAAACCATCAGCAAGCATTATCTGTAATAGGGATAAGCTACAAGCTTTCCCAGTAAGATCAGGGGTAAAACAAGGATACCCATTATCATTTCTGTTATTCATTATTGTACTAGAAATGTTAGCTTTAACAATAAGAGAAGAAGGAATTAGAATATACATTGAGGAAACAAAACTATCAGTCTTTGCAGATGATATGATGTTATACTTAGAGCATCCTAGAGAATCAGCTAAAAAACTACTTGAAATAATTTCTATATATTACCAACAAAGTCCAGCAGTGAGAGATAGAAAGAGAAAATTCATTTAAAATAACTGTAGACAAAATAAAATACTTGAGAGTCTACCTGCCAAGACAAACTCAGGAACTATATGAACACAGTTACAAAACACTTTTCACACAAATAAAATCAGATCTAAACAACTGGAAAAATGTCAGTTGCTCATGGATAGTCTGAGTTAATATAATAAAAATGACATTTCTACCTAATTTAATTTACTTATTCAGTGCCATATAAATCAAACTACCAAAAAATTATTTTGTAGAGCTAGATAAATAATAACACAAATTAGCTGAAAGAACAAAAGGTCAAGAATATCAAGGGAATTAATGAAAAAAAAATGCAAAGGAAGGTGGCCTAACTGTACAAGATCTAAAACTATTCATAAAGCTACAATCATCAAAACAATTTGGTACTGACTAAGAAATAGAGTGGTGGATCAGTGGAATGGATTAAGTACACAAGTAAGTGAGACAGTAGTAAATAACTACAGTAATTTACTGTTAGATAAACCCAAAGATGCCAGCTTCTGCAATAAGAACTCACTATTTGACAAAAACTGCTGGGAAAGCTAGAAAATTGTATGGCAGAAACTAGGCAGAGACCAACAGCTCACACTATATACCAACAAAAGGTCAAAATGAGTACATGATTTAGACTTAGGGTGATACCATAAGGAAATTAGGAGAACAAGGAAATGTTTACCTCTCAGATCTATGGAGAAGGGAAGAATTTATGACTAAACAAGAGATAGAAAACATTATGAAATGCAAAATGGATAATTTTGATTACATTAAATTAAAAAGCTTTTACATGAACAAAACCAATACAACCAAGATTAGAAGGAAAGCAGAAAGCTGAGAAACAATTTTACAGCCAGTATTTCTGAGAAAGGTCTCATTTTTCAAATATATAGAGAACTGAATCAAATTTGTAAGAATACAAGTCTTTCCCCAGTTGATAAATGGTCAAAGAATGAATAGGCAGTTTTCAGATGAAAAAATTAAAGCTATCTATAGTCATATGTAAAAAAAAATGCTCTAAATCACTATTGATTAGAGAAATGCAAATGAAAACAACTCTGAGGTACCACATCACACTTATCATATTTGCTAATATGATAGAAAAGGAAAATGATAAATGTTGAAAAGGTATGGGAAAACTGGGACACTAATGAAACAGTGTGGCTAAAAAACACTTTTTAAAGAGCTATACACAAATATTTCTTGCTCTTTCTTATTGTTGTCATCTTAATCACCTAGCCCTTTTTTTTGCTGTTTTGACAAGAATTTTCATTTATCCATTTGTTCATTCAAAACAAAAGTCAAGTAGGGAAGACAAGACATGAATAGAAATTATTATAATATAAAGCAGAATACAATAAGTAAATAAAAGATGTACAAACAAACTGTTCTGAGTTCAGAGAAAGAAGAAACTGCTTCTGGCTTGCATTGTGTTGGGAGTAGAATTTGAAGGCAGGAGTAAGGGAAGATATCATGGAGGAGTTAGTATTTGAGGTGGCTCTTGAAAAAATGAGTAGACTTACAATAGCAGAAGTATCAAAAAAGAAAAGTCATTCCAGACATAGAGAACAGAGATGAGGAACAAGACACATGTGTAGGTAACAAAGAATAGTCCAACTTGGCTAGATCATAAGGTATATCATTATCATCAAAACAACTCACATTTATTTGTCACTTTATAGTTTACAAAGTATTTTTTTTTCTTCGTTGCAGTATAGTGAGCAAGAAAGTGAAGGAGAATAGTGTGAGATATACTGGAAATGGAGGTTAGAGCTAAATTATGGAAAGCTTATGATTTAAGACTGAAAAATATGAACTTTATTCAATATACTATAGGAAACCATAAAAGATTTTTTTTACCTAAGTTAAAAGTATTGAAAGTGGGATATTCTAAAGGTACTATGCTTTCCTCATAGTAGGTACTTGGTTAAATCAATTTGTGGAGACAGTTAGCTAGTTACAAGTCTGTTGTGACATTCCAGGTGAGGCACAATGAGGGCCTAAAGTAGGGTGATGGCAGTGAGATTGAAAAAGGACAAATAAGAGAGAAAATGCAGAACTTGAATCAACAGAACTTGACTATTGATTGGATGTTGGAGGTAAATAAGAGGGAGGAATTAAAGATGACTGAAGTTTCTGGCTTTGGGGAAAAAAAAGTCAAGAACAAGAGCAGATGTTGGGGGAAAAGTGAGAGAAGGCAAGGGAATAAGCATTTATATAGGATCTGCTGTGTGTCAGGCACAGTACTAACTTTACAAATATTATCCCTTTTTGATCCTTACAACAACCCTTACGAGGTATGTGCTATTATTATCCCCATTTTACAGTTGAGGAAATTGAGACAGAGGGAGATTAAGTGATTTGCCCAGGGTCACAGATCTAATAAGTATTTGAGGCCTGATGTGAACTTGGGTCTTCCTGACTCCAGGCCTAGCACTCTATCCACTGCACTGCCTAGCTAAGACAATTCATGTGCATATTACTCATTCTCGATGATGAGTTCAGTATTGGATATGTTGGTTTTTAAGTGTCAGGGGGCAACCAGATAGACATGTTGAGAGAGAAATTGGAGGTGGATGCCCGGGGTCTCTACACCTGGCCCATCGCTTGGATACTTACCCTTCCCGGTCTTTGGACGTCTCCGGCCCCTCCGAGGGTGGAGGGGAATGACTAGACAGAACACCCGAGCTGGCAGCTGCACACGATTTATTGGTTACATGCTCTCCTGCCTCCCATCGTCCCGGCCTCTGGTCTCTCTCCGGCTCCCATCGTCCCGGCCTCTGGTCTCTCCCCGGCTCCGACTCCTGACCCCCCCCCCCCAGCCCTGCTCTTATATGCCCTAGCTCCACCTCGTGGGTGGAACTTGCCCAAGCTCCTCCCATGTTCCTCCTTCGTAGGTGGAGCTCCGTGCTGTTACTGAGGCACTCCCAGTACCCTTTCAGGCAGGTACTAACCTCCAGGCATCTCTTACTACCCCACAGGAGGCCACGGTCCAGAGCTGGGCCCTAACAGGTGGAGATGGAGATATGGGAGGAGTTCGCCAAGGAGGGCTGGTTGAAGCTATGGATGTGTGTAAGATTTACAAAGAAATAAAAGTAGAAAGAGAAAGAGAGCCAAGAACAGCATCCAAAGGAATGACAACTTTATTGGTGTCTTATTAAAACATCTCCATTCTTTCCTTAATTCTGGAGAGCTATTTGGTAGTGGCAGAAATGCTAGGCAATTCATTATTTATTGTTCCTCCCACAAGAAAGAGAGTCTATCTACAAGAGCTATCTATACTCTAATCAAAAGATCCAAACAGTTTTCAAAAGAAGAATTGCAAATTATCAACAATCATAAAAAAGATTGCCCCAGATCACTTATAATAAGAGAAATGCAACTTAAAGCAGCTTTGAGATTTGCCTCACATCCAGAAAATTGAGAAAGATGACAAAAGAAAAGACTCAGTATTATCGGAAGGGCTATAGGAAGACAGACTAATACTCTGTTGGTGTAGCTATTAATTGGTTTAATCATTCTGGAAAAACTTTTGGAGTTATATGTACATGAGGAGAATCATTAAACTATTAATACTCTAACCTAGAAATTCCTCTGCTGATTATATTCCCTAAAAAGGTCAAGGAGAAAAAGAAAGGTTTTACACACACACACACACACACACACACTCCTCAGAATGTTGATAGGAACTCTCTAATAGCAAAGAGCTATTAATAAAATGGGTGTAAATCAGTTGGGGAAAAAGCTGAACAAAATGTGAAATATGAACATAATGGAATATCATTGTGCTGTAAGAAATGATAAATAAGAAACATTTGGAGAAATATGAAGGTATTCTTATATGCTGATGCAAATTAAAGTAAGAACCAAGAAGTTGTATAAAATTATTTTAATAAAAAGAACACTCAAAAGAAGTTGGACATTGTAATTTTAATGATTAATCTGGGCCCCCAGAGAAGAGGTGAAGAAATGTACCTCTCTCTTTTCAGGGAAGAAATAAGAGACCGTGACTATAGAATATTACATGCCCTGTCAGATGTGGTTGCTGTGTTAATTTATTTTGGTTAATTGTTTTTATTTGTACAATGCTTTCTGGGTCAGAGTAGGAAGGCAGGAAATATATCCAAAAATAACTGTGATATAAAAACAAAAGGCACCAGTAAAACTCTTTTAAGGGTCCACACACATCTCATTTGACCTCTACTCCATTGCTTCTGGAATAGACTTGTCATTGTATTCACCTATTGCCCCCTCACCACCCCTTTAAAACTGAAACCCCTTTTCTAAACTGAAAACACTTTTTCTTGGCTACCACTCCCTTATAGTTATTGTTTCCCCCTATACATCAGAAATGATTTGGGCCATTCTGCTTGAAAAAGGAAAGAGGGTGGTGTCCTTTTACTTCTTGCCAATTTCTACAGAGTATTACTAAATTGGTGTTTTGTTATCATTTAGAAAGGGAAGCAATAATCACTAAGAGCCACCATCACTTCATCAAGGACAGGTCATGCCTATCTAACCTAATTTCCTTTTTATGACCATTGTAGTTCAAGGGAATGACATAATCATGATTTACCTAGATTTCCCCTGAGGATTTAACAGTCTGTAGTGCTCACTTCATGTACAAGATGGAGGATAGATGTGAGATAAACAGTATCCCCGTTAGATGGATTTAGAACCTATGACCAAACCCTATGTGCCCTTGTTATGTTGATGCCAGTTTTGAGTGTGGTCCCCCAGTACTTTACCCTTGAAATCTATCCTTGGCCCCAGGCCGTTCAGAAATTTTTATATGTGACTTTAGATGAAGGTGTAGACAGTATGCTAATCAAATTTTCAGAGAACAGAAAGCTGAGAGGAATGACCAACACATTAGAAAACTGAATCAGGATCCAAAAAGATTTCAACAGGCAAAAACAGTGAGCCAAATTTAACTAGATGAAATTTAGTGGAGATAAATGGGTTTTCAGAATCAGTTATACATTTGAGATTATTAACTCAAGCATAGTATACATATTGACCAAAACTGTATTTTTTTAAAAGAAAGAAAATAAAACCAAGGTTCCAGGTAAACTTAGAAGGTGAAAAAAGAAAGTACAATTTTTTGTTACTTTGTTGAACTAATTTAGTTCAACTTTATTAAATGTAAATTGTTTTATATAAGATTTTATTAATTTTTTGTATATTTAGATCAGTTGCATGAAAGGCATGTGAAAAATATCTAGGGGTTTTAATGGGATGATGGAGAAGAGTGGCCTAGAAAACAATACAGGTGGGGGGGATTTAGAACTGATTGAATGCCCAGACTTCAAAAAGTTGATTAATGATTTCATGTTGCCTTGGAAGCAGGTTTCCAGTGGAGTGCTCCAGGGATGTGTGGTTGACCCTCTGGTGTATAATATTTTTATTAGTGTCTTGAATAAAAGCAAGCAGGCATTCTTATCAAATCTGCATGGGACACAGAGCTAGGAAAGATTGCTGACATGTTAGATGAGTGAGTCAGGATCCAAAAAGATCTTGACAAGCTAGAACTGTGGGCTGTATCTGGTGAGATGAAATGTAATAGTCATATGTGTAAAATCTTATAATAAGGTTAAAAAATTTAGAAGTACAAGATGAGGGAGGTATGGTTAGTAGCAACAGGTCTGAAAAACATCTGGAGGTCTAGATGGACTGCAAGTTCAATATGAGTCATCAGTGCAATATGACTCAAAAAAAACTAATGTGATCTTAGGCTGCATTAAGAGGAACATAATAATTTCCAGAATAAAGAGGTGAAGGTCCTTCTTTTTTCAGCCCTGGTCAAACCACATCTGGAGTCTTGTGTTCAATTCTAACGCACATTTCAGGAGTTACTTTAATAAGCTGGCACAGAAGAAGACAATCAAGATGGTGAGGGACTGGAGACCGTTCCATAGGAGAATGTGTTGATGAAACCAAGTGTGTTTAGCCTGAAGAAGAGTAGCTGAGGAAAGTTGGGGGTTGTTTGAAGGGCTATCATATGTAAGAGAGATTGGACTTGTTTTGGCCCAGGAGGCAGAACTAGGAACAAAGAGTGGCATTTGTAGGAATGCAGATTTATAATCAGTGTAAGAAAACAACCCAGTAACAGACCTATTTCAAACTGAAATGGGCTGCTTTTGTTTCACAGTATCTAGGGCTGCTTCACACAAAGACTAGATGGCCATTTGTTGGGAATCTCACCTGGAGGTTCTGTCATTCTGAGGTGCTGCAGTTCTTCTGATAGAGCCAGAAAAATCCGTGCCAATGAAAACCTCTAACAGGAGAGATTCAGCAGGCGCAGTTGTACCTGACCCCTCTCTGTCTTAGTCTTTTACCTCCACCCATTCCCACCCCCATCCTGTCTAGGCCCTAGCTCTACTGGCTCTTCATGATATTTTGACCTGAAGCAGGTTAAAAGGGGTGGGGGATGAGAGGAACAAAAAGAATGAAAGAGACAACCTTGATTTCTGATTCCTTTTGCTCTGGGCTTTTCCAGCCTAACTGGTGACCAGCACCAGGCTATATGCCAGACTGACTACTAACCTTTTACCAGAGATCTCAAAGAAGGTAGGATTGAGGCAAGGCATACAAATGGGGATTTGATGAAGCAAACAAGCCAGCCTGTAACTAGATTAATCAATCTGCATGCCAATATTCTTTTCTTTTTTTAATTCCTTAAGTGTCCTAGTGAAAAAGCCTTTTTGTAAAAAAAAAAAAGCCTTTATCTCAACTAAGCAAAAAAGAGATTTTTGACACTGAGCCTAGTTTAGCTGAACGGCCCAGAGGCGCAAAGTACCCCCAAGAGACCAGAAGTAGTGGTGGCAGAGGCTGTCCCAGCGTAGACTCTGGGGAAGAACTAGAAACAGTTTTCTCTAAAGCACTGAAACCTCTCTGAGCCCCATTTTCCACATCTATAAAATGGAGGTGAAGGAACCTCTAGTATTTGTACTATCTACCTCACAAAGTTGTTGCGAGAAAAGCTTTTTAAAAACTTCAGAGTATTATAAAAATGTGAGTTGTAATTATCAATAATTGCAATAATGATATTATAATTCAAATGTTAATAATAATTCATTTTGGCCAGGAGGTACACATTTGGGAACCACTGAGATTAGTAATACTTTCTCACCTAGTTTTTCCATCACAAGCTATTTTGACGTTTAGGAAAATGAAAATTCCAAATAGGGGGAAAAAAACTGAATATCAGGGAGTAGTTATATCCTTGGGCTTTGGAAGAGAGACATTTTGAAAAGCATCTTAAAGGGTTTTTTTCTTTTTTAGTGGAGAAGTGCAACAACAACTGAGAGGAGTCCAAATCTGCCTGACATACAGGCATCCTCTCCAAAATGCGTAGGTCAGAGAGAACATTTTATTTATTAGAACTTGACATCTGTTACTGTGAAATGATAAGATCCATTTCTAAAGCTGGCCATTAATTATCATTACTATGCCTGAGCTTCCCCCTCCCCCTCCCCAATCTACCAATGCACAGATTATCACCCTCTCTCCCTTCAAAGTCCATGCTGTACCAGGCACAGAGTATTTACAGCTCAGCCCTTTCCCTTCCCTAAGGAAAAATGTGCCAGTGTAGGTGTGTCGCCTTCCCCAGCATCCCCTCCACCATTCTGGGCTGCTGCTCTGTTGCCAAAGTGCTGCGGCTCTCTCTTCCACCTACTACATGTGCTTCTATTCCCTCTCCCCTTCAAAGAATATTTGAAGCAGTGAATTCCCAGCACTTCTAGTTTCTCTGTGGCAAATTGCTTTGGCATTTGTTCTTAGCATCTGAAGTGCCTGAGACAGATATGGCCTTGACTCATGGCCTGTCCAAAAAAAAAAAAAAAAAGGTATACAGAAAGGGTTATTCTACATGTTTTTGTTGGGGGGAACAGAGGGATTCATTAGTTTGTTTGTTCCTATAATCAAAGTGACTGAAGTATTCCAGAGGGGACTAGTCTTGGGTCTAATGAGCACTCTTCTTCTGGTCATTAGGAAAATATGAATGATAATCAAAAAGTGCCATTTCTTAATTTGTTAAATTGTCGTGCTTTATTCACCCCCCCCACACACACACACATTGAAAAATATATGCAGATATCTTATAAAGAAGCTGTGGAGTATATAGTATACCAAAGAAGAAATGTGCTTTTACTAATTGGATCAATATTAGTTTTTCAGCATCAGCTATGAATTGTTAGCAGAACTAGGTAGTCAGTGAAATAAAGGGAAAGGACAGTAGGCTAGTAGTCAGGATACCTAATCTTGGTTCTGCCACCAATTTCCTATGTGAATTTAAACAATTTTAACCTCCACTGGGCCTCAGTTTCCTCATCTGTAAAATAAAGGAGTTGTACCTTTTCTAGATCTATAATCCTATAAACTTCTCTGGGCCTTTCTTTCTAAAAAAACTAGGCAAGCTAGACTAAGGGCCCTTCCAGCTCTAAAAATTCTCTGGTTCTAAATGAACATTTTGCTTAAAATAGCCTTGCATATTCTTATTTTTTTCATGCTTAAGAGAATTGTTGCCAGAGGTTAACACAAACATGAATATTGAAAGCAACTAAATATAATTAAGAAAATAATTATTAATGCAATTTAATGCATCCATGCAAGTAGTATTCATATATTCACTGAGTTGCAGCCATGATCATCACTTAGATTTATGCATTGCTTTACAGTTTACAAAATACTTCCTTTACAACAACACTATGAGCTAGGCACTACGAGGAAAGTTATATGCGAGGAAAATTAACCTTGGGTCAAGTGACTTTTCTAAGCCATGCAG